AACTCTCGGCACATTCGAGGGGATGTGGGAACCAGCGAGGAGGATAAATAGGTTTATAATACGTTTAGATAAACGAGTAAAAATGGTGATATTGAAATGGTGATAAGGAGATATAGGATTGGCGAATATCCCAAGACAGAAGAGATTAATCACGACTATTTAGTAGACAATTGGGCAAAGGATCGACTTCAATTGTCTCTTTGACGAATTGTAGTTTGGTGCTACCAATGACAAGGCTCACTCACGATGCCGGCGAAATGTCTGGGAAAAAACCAAGTCCATGGTCCGGCTTTGGAAATTATTATGAATACTATGGAATCTATACAAGGTGCGTCCCTCTAGGTCTTCCTGCCAATATGACCAAGTTGTGAAAACGAGTTTATCCCACTACTATACAACGAAGGGAGACCGCGACCATATAAAAGGCCACAATATCTTGGTCTTCATACCTCATTTTATGAACCAACTTGACTAAGTTATCAAATTAACAATGGTGGGGGAGAAGCAGCAGCGGCTACCTTTCATGGGTGCTGGGATTATTTGTTTTAATGGGATTTTCAAGAAGAGACTTCATAAATAATAGACATGCGGGAACAATCCTCACTTTTCAGCCTCATCACAGCTACGGGCTGAAGATCAGAATAGCGAAGAGTTCAATCGTCATAAGATTATGAGTGACGGACTGGAGTTCTGGGAAGAAGATTTGAACAAGCTTACTAGGATTTACCTTATTGACGGTTATCCTAGAGAAGTAGTACCAAGAAACATAGGGGTCGTAAGGAGCAAATTGTAACATTAATATTATGAAGATAAATCAGAAATGAGAAAAACGACCCAAAGTGGATATGTCCGTCCTGCGCACCGAGTCAATAATGGCAATCGATATCAAGAAAATGGAATATCCAGGCGATTACGAAGGAGAAGACTAGCTTGCCTATTTAAAATGAGATCAACAAGCTGGATTGCATGACATGCAGTAACTATGGGCAGGAATATATTGGTGAAACTAGAAAATAAAGCAGCCTACATAATAAGGAACCTCCGAAGAAAAATTGCTAAAGAAAATTCAGAAATAGCGGGGCATATTGAACTGACGGGATAAGAAATCCAATTGAAGACAAAAAAGAAATAGCGTTTTTAATCGACCAAGTGATAAACGGATAAGTCTTTAGACGTTTTGACTTTTTAATGCGTGGCCAAATATCCATGTCTTCAAAAAATGAACTTTCAACTGCTATTTATCTACTACTCTTGCCAAATTCAAAAAAAGAATAAATTGAAATTTACTAGACCTTTATGTTTCACTCGAAATTAAAAAATACAAACAAGTAATAAATCAGGGTATTTATACAAAAAGGATGGAGATACTGTATAGGAAGTAGGTTTTTGACTTGAGGCGTCATTAGACAAAATTCATACGCTTGTATGATTAGATATGTACATTTTTAGCCTCATGGTTTAGTGCATTTTTATCTAACCTGATCCAGTCTTCGTGACCAAGCCCACTTGCCTTTTTAAAGAGACTCTCGCATAACTCACTCATGATGGTTTCCAGACCAAAACGAGCCTCATTTGACTCAAATTGACTAACAAGCTGGTCTAGTCGAGCGGGGCGCAGCCAGCATACCACGTCGACTCGCTGCTTATTTTCCAGGGAGGTGCGAGCAGCTGGATATCTGTCAGTCAGCCAGTCAACTACGAAGAGTACCCGCGTGATCGAAAGCATGCGTTTGACCGTTACGCTGGGGCATTCTTCGTTAATCTCAATTCTAGAATTCACCCCTGATTCGTTTGACTTCCCTAACTG